GAGCCCAAATGTCCATTGATGGATGAATGGATAAAGATGTTGTATATATATATATACAATGGAGTATACTCAGCAATCAAAAAGATTGCATCTTGCCATTTACAACTATGCGGATCGAACTAGAGGGTACTATGCTAAGCGAAATTAGTCAGGAAAGACAAATATATGACTTCACTCACATGAGGAATTTAAGATACAAAACAGATGAACATAAGGGAAAGGAAGCAAAAATAATATAAAAACAGGGAGGGGAACAAAACATAAAACACTCTTAAACATAGAGAACACCTTATGAAGATAAAAAGCTTCTGCACAGCAAAGGAAACAACCAACAAAACTAAAAGGCAACCAACGGAATGGGAAAAGATATTTGCAAATGACATATCGGACAAAGGGCTAGTATCCAGAATCTATAAAGAGCTCACCAAACTCCACACCCGAAAAACAAATAATCCAGTGAAGAAATGGGCAGAAAACATGAATAGACACTTCTCTAAAGAAGACATCTGGATGGCCAACAGGCACATGAAAAGATGCTCAATGTCGCTCCTCATCAGGGAAATACAAATCAAAACCACACTCAGATATCACCTCACGCCAATCAGAGTGGCCAAAATGAACAAATCAGGAGACTATAGATGCTGGTGTGGATGTGGAGAAATGGGAACCCTCTTGCACTGTTGGTGGGAATGCAAACTGTTGCAGCTGCTCTGGAAAACAGTGTGGAGGCTCCTCAAAAAATTAAAAATAGATCTACCCTATGACCCAGCAATAGCACTGCTAGGAATTTACCCAAGGGACACAGGAGTACTGATGCATAGGGGCACTTGTACCCCAATGTTTATAGCAGCACTCTCAACAATAGCCAAATTATGGAAAGAGCCTAAATGTCCATCAACTGACGAATGGATAAATAAATTGTGGTTTATGTACACAATGGAGTACTACGTGGCAATGAGAAAGAATGAAATATGGCCTTTTGTAGCAACATGGATGGAACTGGAGAGTGTGATGCTAAGTGAAATAAGCCATACAGAGAAAGACAGATACCATATGGTTTCACTCTTATGTGGATCCTGAAAAACTTAACAGAAACCCACGGGGGAGGGGAAGGAAAAAAAAAAAGGAGGTTAGAGTGGGAGAGATCCAAAGCATAAGAGACTCTTAAAAACTGAGAACAAACTGAGGGTTGATGGGGGGTGGGAGGGAGGGGAGGGTGGTGATGGGTATTGAGGAGGGCACCTTTTGGGATGAGCACTGGGTGTTGTATGGAAACCAATTTGACAATAAACTTCATATATTGAAAAAAAACATAGAGAACAAACAGAGGGTTGCTGGAGGGGTTGTGGGAGGGAGGACGGTCTAAATGGGTAAGGGGTATTAAGGAATATACTCCTGAAATCATTGTTGCACCCTATGCTAACTTGGATGTAAATTAAACAATAAATAAATTAAAGAGTAAAACTGTAAGCACCTTGCAACTAATGTAATTTTGGCGCATAGGCAACTTAATATTCTAGAGTGAACCTTAAGCAGGCCAAGTTCTGGTGAAACTAAGGAAGAGAAGGCCCGGTCCTTCTCAAAGTGTAGCCCTGAACCAGCAGGACCAACAGTGTTAGCCTCCCCCTGGGAACTTGTTAGAAATGCAAATTCTCAGGGTTCCTGCATGGCTCAGTCAGTTCAGTCAGCTTCCGACTCTCGGTTTTGGCTCAGGTTCTCATGGTTGGTGGGATGGAGTCCCACATTTGGCTCTGTGCTGACAGTATGGAGCCTGGTTGGCATTCTCTCTCTCCCTCTCTCTCTGCCCCTCCCCTGCTTGCACTCTCTCTCTCCCTGTCTCTCAATAAATAAATAAATACACAAACATAAAAAAAGAAATGCAAATTCTCAGGCCCCATTCCAGTCCTGCTGAATCAGAAATTCTATAGCTATTGTTCCTTAACAAGCCTTCCAAGTGATTCTTAGGAATAATATTGTTTGATAACCACCACTTTGGCAAGATGGAGAGTAAAGGAAGATTTTTTTTTAGGGTTGAAAAAAAATCTACTCTCATCCTGCACAATGGCAGGCCAACAGCTCATTTTGGAGAATCATCTTCATGAATAAATTAAAATATAGTCCTCATGTTGCTTAATTAATCTCTTGGGGGAAAGAAGCAGTTGGAGCTTAGAAAGCTTTTCTTAATTTGTGTTAATTGCATTGTTTAAATACCTCACATTCTTTTGGAGACACACACTCCTCTCTAGGCCTCTGTGAAGTGAGATGCTGAGAGTGGAAGGTGACCAAACAAGTTCAAGCCTTGTTCAAGCTTCTACAGGCTGCACTTGCCCACATGACACCTCCCTCTTCAGCCCCCAGTCTGGGATCAGAACTGTAAATTGCAGCTTGATGGCACCTGCTGGATTTGAGCACTCTCCTTCACAGTGGCCAAAGAATAGAGATTTTTTTTCTTATACTATACTAGACTCAATGAAATCTTAATTCACTTCCAGCCCTTCCTAATGCCCCAATAAAATGTTCAGCAGAGTAATGTCTCGCCATCTCCACAACACTTAGATACTTTCCAACCCATGGGGAACTGTTCTGTCTTCATCTCAAGGACAGTTCGAGCCTGAACTGGTAGAGAACTCCATATCCTTACCTTGGTCTTCACTCTCATTTGCCTTAAGGTGTCATTTACACTATTGCTTGGAAAATATCTTATTTCCTGTTTTTATCCCTTTTAGAGGCTTTTCATCTTCAATGAGGTGTAGGATTGGTGGAATCTCAGTCTCTCCCCTTTCTGTAGGCACTAGGAGGGGCTGTGTTTACAGTGTCCTAGGCACCAATGCTAGCAAGACGCCAACCTATCAGGGCAGCTGGAGAGAGTACTTCTCACAAGGGTAAAAACTATTTCATGGTGGTGGTACTTTGCATTCTCCTGCTTACTAATGAGTTTGATAATATTTTATGAGCTCATTTATTGACCTTTTATTTTCCCACTTTATGAAATGCTTGCTTGTGTCTTTGGCAATTTCTTATATTAGATTTGTTATTGTGACCGAGTGACAGAATTTCTTTATAAAATTTGGAGACAGATCCTTTGTAAGTATACATATAGAGGTACATTTTTACTAAGCTCTTGACTTTTTTCACACAGGAAAAATGCTAATGTCAGCTTCAAAGCTATGTGATAGCATGTGGTTAGATATTCTCCATTCCTTTTCTTTTTCTTCTTTACTTTCTCTCCACACCCTTCCTCTCTTCTCTTTCTCTGTGTCACCTTTTACTTAGTTTCCTTTGTCATTGTCTCCATTCTCCTCCTCCTCCCCTCCCCCCTTCCTCTCCTTCCCATTCTCCCTCTCCTCTTTCTCTTCCTCCTCTTCCTCCTTCTCCTCCTTCTCTTATTATCCGTCTTTATTTTTCCCACCTTGTTCTAATTAGAGCCAAGTCCTAGACAGGCAAGTTGCCTTGAGCTAGGTGGATTTTTTTTTTCTGGTTCACCCACTAAATGTGTTGCCCTTTGAGGTCCTGGCTTTAAGCTGGGATGAAAGGGTATGCAATCATTACCAACTTCTGGAAAGGTTCCCTCTTTCATGCTGTGCAGTAGGGCTGACTTTGTAAGCAGTCACCTACGGGTGTTCTGAAAATGGAGATGAGGGGTGTGAAGAGTTTACTTGCATTTCTCCACTACCCCATCCACATTTAAAGCTGTATGGTTTGTCCTCTGTTTCCCAATGTCCATGAGGCCCTTAAAATAGAGATCCAATACTGGGATCAACACATACCCTTGGGGGACAAGTCTCTATGCTTTCTTCTCTGGGCTCTTGCTCTCACCCAATTTTTAGTCAGTTTATTCCTTACTTTTTTATGAACATTTTAATGCATTTAGAAATATGTGTTATATTTAAAATGGCTATAAATTATCTTCAGCAGGATAATTGTATTGACATGTTTTAGATCACTCAGTACGAATGTGGGTGACAACTCACTTGACTACTAACTGATAGTCATGAATTATTAATTTCAGTTTTGTTTTTCCTAATTTCCCAGGTCTAGGATGTGTAAACACATCATTTTCCTCTGGGTCTCTCCTTGCAGGAAGGGATGTCGCCCATGCTCATGCCCATCACCACTATCTTCACTGAGGGGGTGGCCTGTTTAGTTCCTTTCTTCATACAGGAATCTCCATGGCTTTGTCTCCTCACCCCACACACGCAGACTCTCAGTGGACAGGGTTTCACAGATGTCCTTTGGACAACCCTCAGGTTCAGTGTCATTTACCAGTCTGTTGGGCTTTTGCTTAGCTTTAAGTTTTTTATTTGTGTTTTTTTTTTATATGTTTATTCATTTACTTATTTGGCGTCTTGAGAATATACGTTACCTTTTTGCCATTTCAGCAACACATTGTAAAATATGCTTTCAATATTTTTTTCACATTTGTAGGTGTTTTGTGAAAGACTTTTTTTAGTAAACCTAATGCACAGTATTTTCAAAAAGCTGGAGTCTGTGTTTTTTTTCTTTAATTATGAATCTTTTATTGCACAAAAATTTAAATTTTATAATGTAATCAAATTTTTCATTAGTTGTGTGCTCTTTTGTCTTATTTAGAAAGCTCTCTAAGGTTCATAAAAGCATTTTCCTGTATTTTCTTCCATCTGGAACTGATCTTTGTGCACTGAAGCTGTCATTACTACTCTTTGGCAAATAGGTCTCTTTGTCTCCTAAGCCCATCTTGGGATTGCATGTCCTGAATTGCTTGTGGTACAGTTGGGCCATAAGATCTGTTCTGGCCAGGGAATCACAGGTGGAAGTATAGTTTGTCAACTGAGAATTTAATTGCCAACTGAGACCATCTGGGGCTACTTTTTTCCTCTGCCACAATAACTACTAATATTCCAAGTAGTGGCTGTTTCATCAGACTGAGTTTCCAAATGTGAGTATCATAGAACATAACCTCTAGCCAGACCAAAATGGCTATGTAGTGTGAGCAAGAATGAACTTCTGTTGTTTTAAGACCCTGAAATTTTGAATTTTTATTGTTGCAGTAGAATCCAACACACTCTGACAAACTTAAAACATAGTATTAGAAAAAAGGAGTAACAAAAAAAGGAAAAATGTTAAGTATTTGGTTAGGGGATATGTGATAGGATAACTGTTGAGGGGAAAAAAAAGGTAAAAATGCATGTCATGCAGTGGCAAAACCATTATTATTCATGTCATTTGCAATAACTTGGAGATAGACTATGTACTTAATGAACATGTACCATTAAGGGAAGGAATTGGGAAGCAAAATATGCGTCATGAGTTTGTTGCTATTGACTTCATTGGGTGAATTATTTCAAGAAAAATAAATCAGCTCACAAAGTCTTGGCCGGGTTCTCCAATGGAGAAACACAAAAGATTCTTCAAAGAAAGAGCTCAGAGATGTTGGGATTTGAAAAGCTTGAAGAGGCTAGTGGTTCCCAAACCCTGTCAACAAAATATAAAATTTAAAAGATAAAGGCCATTTCAAATTTGGTTTTGTGCAAGGATCAAATCTAGGACACAGTTCTCACACTCCTTGTTAACACAACTGAGTAAGTGAAGCCATTTCAAAGCAAGACCCAAATAAGAATATCATGCTCAATAAATCCTTTTAAAGAAACAAGACAGCTTGGGGAAAAGAATAAAAACATGTGGCTAATATACCCAAGATATACTGTTCCAAATAGCCAATGCTGCATGACAAACTATTCCAAATTATGACATAAAGCAAGATCCATTTTGTTATGCTCATGTATTCTGAGTGTAAGGAATTTGGACAAAGCAAGGATGGCTTTACTCTGTTCTGTGATGTGGGGCCTCAGATGATATGACATGAATGGATAGAGGCTAGAATCATCAAAAGGCTAATCACGCACATATCTAGCACTGTGGCTGGGATGTTTCAAAGGCTAGGATCAGCTGAGACTGTCATCTAGACCATCTACTACATTAAGCTTCTTCAGGTTGCTAGAACTTCCTCAACATGATGATAGCCTAGGGTGCTTGAACTTCTTACACGACAATGGCTTAGCACTCCAAGAGTGAATGTTCTAGCAAACAATGCATAAGCTACATGGCTTTTTATCAGCTGGCATCAGAAGTCGTCTTTTGGTCAAAGCAGTCTCAAGTCCACCCAGATCAAAGGGAAGGAGACAGAAACCCCAACTCTTAATGAATTGTGTGTCTAAGAACTGGTAGTCACATTTTAAAACCAACATATTCCCAGTGAGGTCAAAAGAGAGACAGAACAGCACAGGGGAAGAAAGTAAAGAAATACTTCCCCTTAACTATTTAGGAATCCATTCTTGAAAATCAGAAATTCTACATGAAAATAAAAATTGGAAACCTACTTCATTATATAAATGGGGAAATTATAATACATTAAATGCCAACATTCAATCCTCAACCAATGTCCTAAAAACAGAGACAAAATGAAGTAGAACATCTATGTGAAAGTCTAAACTACATGTCAGGATATAAAATGCTTACTTAAAACATCATTTCCTGATGGTGGTGCCTAGGTGGCTCAGTCGGTTAAGCGTCCCACTCTTGCTTTTGGCTCAGGTCATGATCTCCCTGTTCGTTGGTTCGAGCCCCCCATGTAGGGGTCCACACTGACAGCATACAGCCTGCTTGGGATTGTCTTCCTCTCCCTCTTTCTCTGCTCCTTCTCCACTTGTGTTTGCGCGCGCGCACTCTCTCTCTGTCTCAAAACAAAACAAAAGACACATCATTTTCTAATGATCAATTTAAAACGTGGTTAACATATAATTACTTTGTACTCACTAACAAGGTCACATCCCTGAAGACCCTCAGCACACTTTTCAAAACATCTGTATGTGTTTCTGCCCTTTTACAAATTGTAATCAGAACGTAATGCAAGACTTTTACCCACATAATTTTGTTTAAAATGTTCAGTTGCATTTGGGGGACATAAATATACATTTTGGCTTCTAAAATTGTCCAAACAATTGAAGTTGTATGTGTGTTTTAATTGTGAATCTTCAGAACCAAATTGTGTTTTATTAAAAAGCAAGAGAGGACTTCAGAATTGCCATAGACAAATGCCCACTGAAGTCTCCCATTCTTTCGCCTTTATTGTGGTTATTCTATTCCTGTTTTATAGCTGTGCACCATATAGGACAGTGCTTAGCAACCTTTTATCAGGATCACCTGGGGATTAAGCATAAGCAACTAGGCTCACCTCTAGCATTTCTGATTTAGCAGGTCTGGGGTAGGGTCTGAGAATTTACATTTCAAATATTTGATCATGCTGGTCCACAATTGAAGAATTCTTCTATAGAAGTTAGGAAACATTTTTTTTTAGGTCATAAGTCTCCAGATAAAGAGAAGCCACATTCCAACCCAATGCAGATTCCTACACCTCAACTCTGATGTCAGAACTCCCACCTATCACAGGCTGGAGAGCCTGGACTCTGAGCTGAATGCCATTATTAAGTGATATTTTCTGTTCCTTTTTAATGGGGAGGAAATGAGTTCATTTTACTTGAAGAAGGCACAGTGGGCCAATATCTGATTTAACAAATATATCCAGTTCCTGCCTTCAAGGCACATGGTGATAGTGCATGTTTTGATTCCATTGTGGATGAGGCCCTGCTAGTTCTGGGCCATGCCATTGGTTCCAGTCAATGAATTGTTCATGGAAGTGATGATTTTCAATCTGGGTTTGGAACACTGAATCACCATTAATCCCTTCTTACCTCTTCCTCATCACAGCAGCCAGCTATGTGCTAACGGTGGTTGCCTGGTCAACCTGGCTCATGGACTGAAGGTAGTGAAGAGTCCCAGGCCGCACATACTGGGAACATAATGTGGTCACAAATTATACCTTTGTTGTTTTTGGTCACTTACTGCATCCCAATCTCACTGATATATACATACATATATATATATGAATTTATTTTTCAAATAACTACCCAATAGTCTCACTGTCACTTACTAAATATCTCATCTTTCCCCACTCACTTAATAATATTCTATAAGGCAGAATATGTCATACTATATATATAACCACTAGAATCTAGAACTTGTTCTTTTGATTAACCAAAAACTAACTTTATGCCACAATTTTTCCTATGTAGCTATAAAGATATTCCCAAGGTTAATGATGAAACAAGATAGATAGTATGTGTTAGAAATTATGTTTTCAGTAAGCAGTGTGGAGAAAAGGTAAGCCGGCAATCTCCAGAGAGCACTGTTCTTAAAATGTTCTTAAAACACAGCTGCATGTGTGGCCAGTGAGGGAGAGCCAACTGGCTAATAATGAGATGTCATGGTCTCTGATTTTATTTTATTTTTTAAAATTTTTAATGTTTATTTTTACTTTTTGAAAGACAGAGAGAGAGAGAGAGAGAGAGAGAGAGAGAGAGAGAGAAAGCACACAAGTGGGGGAGGGACACAGAGAGAGGGAGAGACAGAATCCCAAGCAGGTTCCCCACCATCAGCACAGAGCTGTATGTGGAGCTTTATCTCACAAACTGTGAGATCATGACCTGAGCTGAGATCAAGAGTTGGCGGCTTAACCAACTGTGCCACCCAGGTGCTTCTCACACTCTTTGATTTTAGAGATTAAGAATCAGAACTGAAATGCCCTTCATCAGTGCAGTTTTGCTTAAGCTGTAGTCTCATTCTAAGAAGAAAAGCCCTGGATATTGAAAACAAGATGTAATTTCTTCAAGGAGATCATTGGAAACTAGCCAGGAAAGAAAACTCTACCTAAAAGCTGATGTTGAGAGGCAATTGCTGCACTTGGACATGCATCCTGGCATAATCTCATGTGTAGGCACCTTAAAGGGGGAGACAGAGATGCATGCCATCTTGCTGCACATATTCAACTCTATGACTCCTAGGATGTTACAGATGAATATTAATTAAGCACGCTTCTTATAAATCATTCCCAATCACCAAAGGCCGAGTCACATATTCATGTACATGTCAAATGAAAAACTCCTGTTAGTATATTTGAAAACTGGAAAATTTTGGGGGCCAAAATCTCTTGGAAATTGCTAAAATAAGAGAATATTTTTATGAGAAATGTGTGTGGGAACCATGCAAATTTATTAAAAGCAAATGGACTTGGAGGAAGGAGCGGACCAAATGAATTTTCATCCTTCCTCCTTGGTTTTGTTGATAGTGGTAAGGGTAATAGATGTTTTAAAAAAATAATGATGGTCCATTTTTTAAAAAGAGTTATAAAATGCTTTTTTATGTTTTGGTACTTCGACTCAATATGACATTCAACTCACTACTGTCACAATATCCCTTGTGGCAAGGTAGTCGCCCATCCACAAAGGATAACATAGAAAGAAAGAACATTTAACTAACTTATTATTACCAGTGAGGGAATAGCTTGGCAGGAATGGCGTTTCTTTTACCTGCTTTGGGGCCAGTGGAAATGAACAGTTCAGTGTGAGGTTTCAGGCCAACATAGGTTAAGTTATGTGAGAATTAATTCTCTGCTTTTCAAACTCTAATGGAAGTCCTGCATTTACCTGTTTTTATAAGCTACAATAGTATAGTATCTTTGCTTTTCACTGTAAATATATTTGCTTAACATAATATTATATTGGCTACCTGATACGTTTTATATATATCATGTGCTATACTAGCATGCCTAATATTATATTATTTTAATATATTATGATAAACTTTATCAAAAGTTTTACAAGTCTTAGGCTAGGCAAAATTGGAAAACATTATTACTTATGAAAGGCAATTTCTTTGTGGCAGTCACTTCTCTAAAAATACTGGGTCCAAGTGTGAAGGAGGATGGACAAAATAAATGAGACCTCCTTTTCTCAGTCGTGCAAAACCAGAGGTACTACACAATTATTGTGTAGAGTGGTTCAGCAACATCCTCCACTGTGTAATTCCAGTATTAGTATATCATCAAGAAGTATTTTTTAAAAAAATTTTTAACGTTTTTATTTATTTTTGAGACAGAGAGAGACAGAGCATGAATGGGGGAGGGGCAGAGAGAGAAGGAGACACAGAATCGGAAACAGGCTCCAGGCTCTGAGCCATCAGCCCAGAGCCCGACGCGGGGCTCGAACTCACGGACCATGAGATCATGACCCGAGCTGAAGTCGGATGCTTAACCGACTGAGCCACCCAGGCGCCCCAAGAAGTATTTTTTAAATAAATGTTAAATATAGGTGCCACAGGGAACTTTCAAGTGTTTGTGTCTTTCTTATCAAGATTTACATGGTCATGTCCTAGGAAAAAGAAACAATGGTTAAATTTCATATCAATACACTATGCTGCCCAACTGGTATGTGCTTTATGTGTTAAAAGAAAAACCTACTGACTTTCACCTTCCCCATGGCCCTCCCTTTTAAATACTCCTCTATGGAGGATAACTCAGCTGCTGGGTCCACTATTTGCCGTTCCCGCCTTTTCTCCTCTTTCTGCTTAGAATGCTCCAACAGTCATCTTGAGACAATGAGGTGACCCAAGGATGAAGACCAGAGCTAAAGGTAGCAGGATGGAAAGATACCAGGAGCCTGGGTCCTGAGGCCCACACAGCCACCATACCAACTCCAAACCACCTGCCTCCCGATTTCCTTCACACAAGAGAACATAACTCTTTATCTTAGTTAAGTTCTTTATACACAGAGTATCTTTTGTTAGAATCAAAACACAGCTCTTTACTGACCGGACCTCAGTTCATCAGAATGCCCAGGAAAGGATGCAATAAGGTACAAATAAGATGTATAACTTTTATATATGCAAATATATACACACATATACTATATATATATATATATATATATATATGTATATTTATGTATAATTATAATTTATATTTATCTGAGAATTAAAAATAACTTTAAAAAATTTAAAAAAATTTTTTTTTATTTTTGAAGGAGAGAGAGAGACAGAGCATGAGCGGGGGAGGAGCAGAGAGAGAGACACACACACAAGAATTTGAAGCAGGCTCCAGGCTCTGAGCTGTCAGCACAGAGCCCAACGCAGGGCTCGAACTCATGAACAACGAGATCATGACCTGAGCCAAAGTCGGATGCTCAACCAACTGAGCCACCTAGGCGCCCCTAAAAGTAACTTAATACATAATCTACAGAATTTGAGATATTAGAAGTCATTGCAATTAGTTTTACTGAGAGCAATCCCAGAAACACTCAATAAAATGTTGTTTGTTGTTATTTTCTTTTCTACAAATTTGTTAGGAGGGGCAAAATTATGTGTGCGTGTGTGTGTGTGTGTGTGTGTGTGTGTGTGTGTGTGTGTGTTGTGATTTTGACCCTCAACATTAATAGAAAAATCTGGGTTAGGGGATTCTGCTTTAGACCTTATCAACTGAAATTTTCCAATATAATCAAATACTATCAATGAGGGAATTCAGAAACTATGAGAACATCATAGTGCCCAACTGTAGCTTCTGATGCCACAAGAGTAGAATTATTGATTCCTCTCTAGTGCCCTTTTAAACTACTTTTTAAAAACTTTGTGCCACAAATCTGGAGGGCCTCTTCTTAGGATGGAAACAGATAAAATATCTAAACAACCAGCAAGCCAGGGCACTCAGCTTTTGGAAATCCCAACAGAAGAAATGTTTTGTTC